GCCAATCAGCAATTAGCACTTCAATATTAGTATATATTTAATATTTTATGCCCTAATTTTTATTTGATCTCCCTTATGTCCCGTATTTGAATTGGTTTCAACCACACCTATACAATTATTTTATTGACAATTATAATCAATCTTGACTATATTATCCTGCATTTGTAAACTTAGAATTGCCTATTTAAATACGCAAATTTAACATTCAATTATCTATGCATGAAGAATACCAATATAATCTTGCATTGATATACTTTAAAGTACTTATTTTAAAAAAAAAAATTATTGGACAATATCCCAATCACGCAATGCGCGTAAAAACCTAATATGTTAAAATGTATTAAAAATATATAATATAAAATTTAAAATAAACTTTGGTAAAATAATTAGTTCGACTAAATACATAACATTCAAAGTTAAGCATCAAAGATTATAAATCAAGAACTTTAAAAATCATTTGATTTTTATGCATTAAAAAAAAAGCAAATTTAGATTAAGTTTTTTTTTTTTTTTTTCGTTTAATTAATCGTCTTTTGATTGTTTAGAATTTAGATCAAAACAAAACTTAATATTTAAATTATATTTTTGCTTTATTGGTATTATTTAGGTCGTTATAGTATTAATATTTTTTGTATGTATTTTTATAGTGGTACAATTGTACATTACTTTACAAATATTATACTATTATTTTTTTTATCGAACAAAATTGTTTTAACATCATTGTCAGACCTGCGTGACCTAAATACAAAGTTGTTGATCATAAATACAATTACACCTGGACTCTAAAACGGTAGGACCATTTTCCAAAGAATTGACAATTTTGACATACATCCCACTGGCTCCAATTGAACAAGTTTACATATCAAAATTTTATCAATGCATGAAAACTTCTAAAGAAATTTGTAAGCTAATTTTTACTATATCATTATAACAATATATATTGTAACTATATATTTTGAATTATTTATTATCATCCTATATTGACAGAAATTGTAACAATTGTAATGGACAAACTCTCAAAATAATTTGTCTCAACAACGAATGTAAATTAAAAAAAAAATCAATGATTTCATTATTGTTGATGAAAAGTATGTACGCAACTTTATTACTCTTATTAAATTAAATAAATTAGTAGCTACAACAAAAAATAATACATATGCATTTAATTAATTTAAAATTAGTTGTCTATAATGCCTTTATTTTTTAAAAAAAAATTATTCATTATAAAAAATTTAAAAAGAGATATCATTTCATTAGTTATATTATCTTTATTTTCTACAATTCAAAGATTCATTACCTTCAAATTTTTTAATTTATTATATTCACTACATTGTCCATTGTCTTCTTTTTACATTATCTTGTAATTAAATATCAAAGTTATAATACAAAATATGTTATATATATTTATTTACCAAGTATTTTTATACAATATAATAAATATTAATATTTTAATTTGTTCAATACTTTTAGATGATAACCTACGACACACATCTCACAACGCATGAAACATGTAGGGGAAAAATTACCAGTACCAAATATCAATAGGTACTTGTAAGATAAAGAGTTGATATATAGTATAACTAAGATCCCATCATATACACAAGCCCAAGATAAATCTAAAGCTTCCTACACCATAATCTCATTGCACGATGAATCCATCTATTCTACCACCAGTAATCTAATTGCACATGACACACTACAAATAAAATAAAATCAAATAAAATAAAGATGACATGTACTGAAGATGAAAACAATGGCAATGCTACCCAAAAAAGAATTAAGAAGAATTAGAGAAATTTAAACAAAAAATAGTATTTATTTAGACTATCATTTTTAGTGACAATATAATCAACCTCTAATATATTATCTTGAATTTATATACTTTAAATTATCGATGTAAATAAACAAATCCAATATTTATTTACCTAGAACATCTCCAATATAATATTGCATTGATATACTTTGAAATACTTAATTAAAAATAATCATTGGGCATTATTACATTCGCGCAAAGCCCGTAAAAAAACTAGTGGTTCAAATAATTATCAAATTAGTAGAAATAATGGTATTAGCAACATCCAAAAAATAAAAAACATGCAGTTGGATGTACAAATCATTAAAAAAAAAAAAATGCAATAAGCACTTTCAACATGCACTTGTTAGCTTGTAGTTGATGCTAGCTACTATGTCACGCATAATAGTTGACTGAAAATAGATTAACATATATTAGAGTTAATAATATCATCTATCTTGAAAATGAAGGGTTGGGCTTAACGTGTTTTTTAATTATTTTTTTAATTCGTATTTTTAATTCTACCCATAAAATTTATCGTTTAAGGGGTCAAATCAATCGTTCTCACTTAGTTTGTTAACATCACAAAATAAAAAATAAAAAAAATTTAGACTTTCGTATTTATAAATAATAAATTTTATTTTTCAAACATTAAATTAACTAATAAACATTAAAATTAAATCATATATAAATCATTGCAAAAAGAGCATTAAATGTTGCTAGTAATTTCATCGCAAATACAATATCAGTTCTGATACGACTAGGGAATTCTTGTCCTAAATTGGTGCTCTAACTAACAACAATGAAGTAATGAATTTTTAGTCCCAAAATATTTGGTTGAAAATAATTTGCAATGTGCATTTTCAACGGATTTTAGGTGATTTGTAAAGGGATTTTGTCTGATGTGAATCGAGTTTTTTTTTTTGTTTTTTTTTTTTTTGTTTTTGTTTTGTTTTTTTTTTTTAATCCTTGGTAGTGTGTAGTTTTAGTTGACTGATTGGAAAAGTATGTGATTAAGAAAAAGAGTTAGTGTTATAAATCACAATGTCATTTCGTATGATGAATTCTGTGATATTATATATTGAAAACCATAGGAGAGAAGAAAAATAGATTGAACACATGAACTCAGAACCACACCCTTTCATATATATATATATATATATATATATATATATATATATATATATATATATATATTATACAACTGAGTAGAACCGTACATGAATTAAAATATAGAGAAACGTCAATAATGGCCGGCCATACACCACAAAATATTCATAACAGTCATGTAATTAATTGAGTGATTATATAACTATTTAGAACGAAATTAACTAAACTAGGAGTAGAGAATTGTTTAAGGCAACGTGAAACACGCTAGGAGGGGTGCGATATCTTTTTAAATTAGTGTTTCAGAATTTATGAAAGTATCATTCAATATTCTGGCGTATTTAATTTTGGAGAGAAGTACTTCACTGGATAGTATATTAAGTATAATTTTTGTAACATCAAACCCTATTAATTGGCGCGATCGGTGATCCATGCTTGCTCTTGTTGCCATATATGCCAGAAATAAATTATTGATTTGATCTAATCCTCTAGTGTACTTCAATGCAATTTTAGTGCATTGGCGTGATGCACCTTCAAAAACAAAACTAAATCTTCATCCCCCTAAAAACAATGATAATAGGGATAGTTTCTCATACGTGTTGAATATATACTGTAAATTAGGTGTACCGTTTCATCAATGCCCAATGCGTGATTCCAATTAATTGACCAAAGTTCATGTTAAATTTTATATTGTATTTTTTTAATACATTTTAATATATTTATAGTATACTTTTAACAATTATGCCAATTTTGATTGGGATGGAGTTCGAACATAAAACCTTCGTTATGAAAATCAATGAGTAAGTTAAGAATAATAAATAGTTAACAAAATATTTCATTACTAAACTTTACACGGACAGAATACAAGGGTATATATGAAAAGTCAGTGATATAATAGAGGGTAAAATATGAAAACTAATTAAAAAAAAAAAACTAAAATCAATAGTATAATAGAGGATAAAATAGGGAAACTAATAAAAAAATGAAGGCTAATAATTGTAGCCCCCAGCAAGGATTGAACTTGCAACCTTTTGCTTACAAAGCAAACACACTACCACTATGCTATAGAGGCTATTTTTCATCTAATTGTTTTATTCGTATCATTTTATATGTATAGTTTGGTTAATGAGTCTTGACTGAAGTTATTTTTAATTCAATTGTTTATAATATTAAGTTTATTATTAGTATATAAAATTTATATATTTAGAAACTATATTAAAAGTTGTACTATTAATACTCGTGACACGGAATTGAAAATTCGAAATCGTCTACTTTATTAATATCACAACATGTCTGTATAAGAGTAAAATTGTAAAGATTTTGGAAGTTTGTATGATGAAGAATTTTTTATAAAGGTTGAAGATTGATAACTTAGAAATGAAGTTCCTTGTTTGATGGAGGTTTCAAAGTTTATCTAGTTGTCTAATATATTTAATATCATTTTCAAACCTTGAAAACACATTATAGACCGTTGTAAAATAAGGATCAATATTTATCAATAAATGAATTTATATTTATATTTATATGTTATTGAAAACAATATTAAATGAATACATTAATAGTTCTAAATTTGAATGCTAGGCATCGAGATCGTAACATAATTAAATACTCATAAAAAGAAAAGATGAAAATGACTATTTTCAAGAAAAAAAAAAAAAAAAAGAATTGTGTAGACTATACAATTTAATAAAGAAATGAAAATGAGTTTCGCGCGCTGTATTTCTTTAATTGGATATACATAGCTGGGAAATGCAACCTCCATTACTTGTGGACTCAGTATTCATTATTTAACACTATAAGCTTCATCATATCCCGGCAGGCATTTTAATTACCTGCAAACCTTTCTTCTTCTAATCTTATCAACTTTACTCACAACAACACTGCAGAACCGCCATTGCTGACATCATCTATCATCCATAATGAGCTACCAGCCTCTTCATCACGGCCCACCAGGCAAGCATCAACTGCTTTAATTTCTTCACCTTCAATTCGCAAAAGAAAAAAGAATTAATTTGGTCTTTTTTTTTTCAAATTTATTTCATGGACTTTCCATTATTCCATATATATATATATGAAATAATATTGTTTTGGTTTGCAGGTCATCATGAGCCGCCGCCGCCGTCCACGCACCCGCATCATCCGCCGCCGGCCGAGCCCCACCACGAACCCGCCCCACAACGAGAAGAAAGCGGTGGCTGCCTATCGTTTCTGAAAGGCTGGTATGCATGCATGCATTCTTCATATATCACTTAATTCATGTCAGGGCAAATCCATAAATATCGTTGAGTGGAGATAAAAATATAAACAATTTTAAAATGTGATACAAAATATTTATGAGTCAAATACTTTTTATTTTAATTAGATCTACTCTATGCATTTGTACATCAATTTGAATATAGACTATATTGACTAGATAGTTCAAAAAATTAAATTTTTATAATTGAATTACAAATATATTCATAAATACTTTGTATTTTAATTAGATAAAATATATCAAGTTTAATTCATGTCAGAGATAGATCTATAAATATCGTTAAGTGGGGGTAAATTTTTAATTAAAAAAGTTCAAAACATGATAAAATATAATTTATTTATTTTTATTTTAGTAAGAGATATAACGCACGATGAAAACTTATAGACTGCATTGACCCGAGAGTTTATAAATTTTAATAATTGAATTACAAAACATATTCATAGATACTTTTCATTTTAATCAGATCTCTAATCTGATCTAAATATTTTTAAAATAATTTGAATACGATAACGCATATCTGAGAATTGATACCTATGACCAACTTTTGAAATTGCAGCTTGGAATGTCTTTGCTGTTGCTGGCTATTCAAGAAGGTGTGCTGCTGCTGCTGCTCTTAATTCCCAGGAGTGCATATATATATATATATATATATATATATATATATCCTCAAAAATAATAATTATCGCACGTTGTTGTTGTTGTTGTTACGTTACGTTGTTGTAATTGTCAATCTCAATTCGTTCTCCTAAATAAAATGCAGCACGTACTAGGCCTGCTTGCTTGCTGCCTGTATTAATCCTTTTCAGTTATAAGGTTTGGTTTGCTTTGAAGGTTGTTTATTTGACATTATATTATGGAGTTGTTATGATATGATGATATATGGCATGTGCATTTCCTCGCAGTATATCTTCTATTATATTATTGTATTTGGATTGGATATGATATATGTCATGTGCCGATTAGTAGATCCAAAACTTTGAGATTCGCAGCATGAATTATGCCCACTTCTATTGTTAAATGTCATTTTACTCATTTATATGGTCTTGCCATGTTTTATATACAGTAGTTATTATTTAGGAAAATGACACATTTTCTCAATGAGTTATATGCTAATGTTATTTTGTTTTTACCTAACTTATTCATGTATTTACATTTGTCCCATCAGTTATGTTAAAAGTGATAAGTTTTCTCATTTTTATGTTATATATATGAACATTTTTACCTTTAAAATAAGTATTTCATTTATTTTTCTTTTCCAACAAATTATTGCTTATATGTTTAGATGATAACGATTCGGTTTGAACCTAACTATAGCAACCGAGCCAAAACTGTAGGGACGGTTCTGGTTACGATTCAGAACCGAAAAAAAATAAATAAAACAATTGTTGAATTTAGACTATTTTAAAAATAAAAAATAGAATTTACACAAATAAAATAAATAAATAAGTAAATTTTGAATTGGCGGTTTCAAACCGAAACTAGAACCTTCATAAAAGGTTCCCGTTCCGATTTATCGTTTTCCATAGTCGTGAACGGGACTGAACCACAATCATATCTACTTATATGTGGAATTAGAATAAATGTGAAAATGATAAACACTATTAATAGAAGAAAGAAAATGCTAGGAGTGAAAGCTAAGGCTTTAGCATATACTTAAATTTCTCAAATAGAGATATAACGGCGATTCTTTTAAAGAACTGACGTTATATCCCTATAATTTTTTTAAAAATATAAATTATTTTTAAAAGTTTTAACATACAATGTTGGTTTGTCTACGAACCGATGTCGTATGGCATATTTTTTTTTTTTTAAATTTTATAGAATATACGACGTCGGTTCACCGTGAACTGACGTCGTATATCATTAAATATTTTTTTTTTAATTTTTATTTGGAACATACGGGCGTCGGTTCATGGTGGAAGAACCGATGACGTCGTATGTATTAATATATACTCGTATATTTTTTAAAATAATAATTATTTATAACGTCGATTTTTGTAATATATATATATATATATATATATATATATATATATATATATATATATATATATATATATATATTGCTTTATTTTATTGACATATTACGTCGGTTAGTTCAAAACCGACATTGATTGTGCGACGTAGTGTTTTTTTTTTTTTTTTTTTTTTTAGTAGTAATGATTTTATTATCTTTTGCATTTGACAGCTAATGTTCGAATTGTTTAACACGCCCTTAAAGTTAGGTTAAACACGTTTTATTTGTGCTTTTGTAAGTGCAGAGCAGTGAAGTTGAGTAGGCCAACTGCCTCATCTGTATAATCCTAATCCTCCCTGTATTCTTTTGTCTCCAATTCCAATTTTACAAGTTAGAAGATTCGAGTATCGTAAAGGGTGCACCATGTTAAAATATGGTGCGCCAGACTTTTCTTCGAACAACTGGTTTAAATTGAGAAAGTCAATTGACAACTTTCGCATTATGCTTGCAATCCTATATGATTATATCTATGTTATAAGTGAATAAAAATTTTAACATCTATTTTTTTTTATCGCATAAAAAATTATAGACTATTTATGTTTACACTAAACAACTATGAACTAAATTGCTGGCAACTGCACCCCGTTTGAAGCAGAATCATGGGCCATATTAAAGGGTATTCAACTAGCAGTATTCAAGGGGTGTAACAATTTGATCATTGAAAGTGACTCCACGAACGCTATTAACTATATCAAAGGAAGCAATCCTCCCCGCACCGCGGCTCACAACATTCTTGAAGCCTGTAAAAAAGAACTCCGACGTCTTGAGAACTGGCGGGTTACGGCAATAGCCAGGGAGCAGAACTTTGTCGCGGATCGCTTAGCATTCTTCTCCAGGAACTTCCCCCCTGGAGTTTACATTTTAGCGTCACCACCGGAAGATATTTTGAGTTTTTTAGAAGATGACATTGCTGGTTTTCCATCATGGCGCTTCATGTATAATGCACAGTAGTTCGGTCTGTCTTGTTTGGGTTTGCCCCTTCTCAATAATATAAAAAAAAAAAAAAATTGCTGTTTAACTATACTGTAAAAATTAAATTGACACATTTCTCAATCAAAATAATTAAGTGGATAGGAGTGTAGAAGACTATGGTGATAGGGACGAATAACGTTTTCCATGTATTTGACGCATTAATTGCACCACATTAACTTTTTTTTTCCCCGTTTTCACGTTATTGCCGTGAGAGGCAATATTGTTGTGCACACAGTAATGATGAACGGCTTTGATAAAATAACAATATGTACATGATTCATGCTTATATCTTCTCCTCATAAAATTGTTTATGGTGTGTTTGGTTGATGAGTTTTGCCCATAGGAATGAGAATGAAAGTGATTGTAATTGTTTGGTTGATAGGTTTTTAGAACACTACTATGGGTTTCAAATACCCCATCAATTGCAAAACACATACCCAAATAAAATAAGGGTTTCATTCCCTTATTCGATCATTCTCAAGCACTACTATTAATAACCATTCTCATTCCATCCTACTACCAAACATGTTAAATACTTTCACGAAAACCCATTATCATTACCAAGTATTTTATAAAATGTTACGCTTGAGTTTGCTTTTCCTCATTTTGCTAGTATGACCTGGTTCGATTCGGGTCCGCCTTTTATTTCTACAGCGGTAAACCGTGACTTGAGTTTTGCTTAATGATATCTTCTGTTTTTCTTCCAAAAAAAAAAAAAAATACTAAATAAGTTCATGTATCATGAGAATAAGTTATGTTATTGTTGTAATTGTTTCCTTTTAGCTCATAGCGTTTCTTGATGGAACGGATTATCATATGATAAACGAGAGGCAAAGTGCAGGGAAAGCAAAAAGACATTATAATTGCAGTAACTTTTTTATTTCAACATTACAAGGCATATATATAATTATAATAGTAACAGAAAGAAATAATGACAGACATAAGTACGATGACCGTTACAATTGTTACATAATTATTCACTCATAATGTGCACACTTTAATAATATTATTTTTACTCTTGACTTTACCTTATAATGTTTGTCTCTTGACATGTCAGTAAAATTAATTTTATTCATTGATTATCATGAATTGGTATTGCCATGTAATCAAGTGAAACTAGCTAGTGAGAATGAAACAGTACTCTTTGAAAACTAATATGGGCATAATATAATATGATTTTGAAACTCGGGATGGTAGTTTAAGTGGTAAATAAGTTTTCTTTGTGGGAAAAAATTTGAGATAATCTGGGTTTGATTTCCACGAGCCATGATTCATCCTGTTAAATGGACTGAGAAAGATTCGGACCGCCTCATGGTTTACCAAAAAAAAAAAAAAAAACATTTTGAACCGATTTGATTAAAACAATGAAAAAAAATAACATTTCAAATTTTAAGATGGTATTTTCAAATTTAAAATCTTTCTTTGTAATTATCACATAATATATTTTAAAAGTTTTAAAATTTCAATTATTAATCCAAAATTGCATATATAATATATGATTTTCATTTAAAAGCATTATTTTTAAATAGGTTTATTGATGAAGATAGTTGTGATAACTATATCCATATATTTAAAATTGATAATTTATCAAATCTTAAAATATATAGTGTAGATGAATCAGTCAAAGTTTGAACTTGTTACAAATATAATGTAATTCAAGTTGCAATTTTATAAATGAACCAATTACCTCCATAAAAAGATTCCATTGTTTTTATATTGAATACTAATTTAATTTTTAAAACTTCATTTGTTTTTATAACATTTTAAAATTGTCTATTAAAATATCAACTTTGAAAGAGTACTTTAAACACTTAAAGTTTGACATTTTGTCACAAGTATGCGAGTATACCTATATATAGAATATAGTAATATATGCACATATATAAAATGTGATTTAAATTAAAATTACAACATTTAGTAATTTATATCCCAACCTATGTCTCATAAACCAGAGTACTATATACATGTTCACTCAGTCTTTTAGTCCTTTACGATGCGAAATGTTCTTATTAGGAGTGCAAACGAGCCAAGTCAAACTCAAATCTATACTGATTTGAGTTTGAACTTAAATTAGTTATAATGATTGAAGTCTAACTCATTAATTTTTATAAGGTTCCAGTTCAGTATATATGTATGTGTGACGGATCAGGTGAGAATCACATGCGTAGGAGAGAAATGAGAATCTATCGCAACCGTCCATCTATCTAGATCTAACGGATCAAAATTTTTATTTTTTTTTTAAAACGGTGATATTTTTGTAAATAATTCAAACTTTAAAGTGCAATTAAATTATGTTAAAAATGCAAATAAAATGTATTACAAGTGCAACAATATAATATACACCGACCAACAATATTAAGTGTACAAAACGTTATCATTAGGTGCACCAATGTGAAAAGGTAAATTATTATTTGCAATATTAAGTGAAAATGGTTGAACTTTTAAGTGATTTTTACTTGCAAACTTGCACTAGTTAGTAGTTATTTGCCATTTCAACACATGTTACGTGCACCAAAGTTCACGTTATTTACAAAAAATGTTGTCGCATTTTTTAAATTACATTTGATCCATTAGATCTGAACAGATGGATGGTTGTGGTTGTTTTTCATTCATCTCCTAATTGGGCGTTCTCACCTAAACGCGCGCGCGCATGCGCGTGTGTGTGTGTATATATATATATATATATATATATATATATATATATATATATATATATATATATATATATATATATATATATATATATATATATATATATATATATAGTGAAAGGTTCCCGTGCATTTGTTGCTTCCCGTGCGGATGTGCGGTGGATTAATGTGCGTGAGATTTGTACTCAATGTGCATGAGTGTTGTGTTTAATGTGCCTGAGATTTGTATTTAATGTGCGTGAATGTGTAAAATGCAGCAGA